TTCATATGAAAAGTATTCTGTGATTGGAAGATACCTTGTTGCACCATCATCTGAAATCACTGTTGCGTACGTTCTTCTTTCGTTATGACGTGACACCCTTTTTTCAACGTTATCATAGATGCATAGTGATGAGTTACACAACAACAGAATTAAATAATCGCCATAAGAAAAATAGGTACATTCTGATTTAATTCCCATTCATTAAATATGCTGAGACAACCACCTAAAAATTTCCAACAGTAAAATAATATGAAAAATATATTGATTTACTATCGACAGAGAATGGCGCAACAACACCAGAAAAATTTGCCGATTTACGTAAAAAAATTGATTTAATTTATGATGACGATAAAGAAAAGTATCATTTAGCATTAAAACATTATCACGAATCATTAGAAATGAAAATAACTTCGTCAGAGGCATTTTTGGGACAAACGTTTTTTTCGCCTGTTACTGGTAAAAATTAAAATCCTTATATCTCGGTCAGATCTCAGGCTGACTCAACGAATTCTTCAGGAAAGGCTTAAAAGGCGGCATATATTGTTGATCATGGTAACAGGCGAAAAACCCATTTTTCACAAAAATGCCTCTGACGAAGTTATTTTCATTTCTACACAAAAACAAATGTTGCTACGACGCTCGGCGCAGTCGATTATCTGTATTCCGTGGCATTTCGAGATTCCCAGAGGTGTCTGGGAATCTCGAGTAACGTCCGGACTACCTACACATGCAAAAAAATTACTAACGTTGTATGTTAATTTTTTGAAAACGGAGCTGGTTTTTCAAAGATCTACTGGAAAATCGGCTTTAGAAACTTTTCCGAAATTTGTTTTTGCTTACGAAGCATAAAGTGATCTTTTTTATGTCTAACAGTGAAAACCGTACATTTTTATCTGCTTCCGTTCAGGAGCTATTCAAGTTACAACCGACTTCATTATTCATTGAAAACGATACTAGCAGACGCACAAAAAAAACCAAGGGTACCACCAGGTCAGGATTCGAGTTTTCTCCTGTACTGATTCACTATATGGCTGGATCCAGCTCTCTCGGTCATAGATCCACATAGAACTCTTCGCGGTCAACAAGATGCCCTAATTGCTTTGCAATGTCCGGATTTTCAGAAACGAAATGCTTGATTAGTGTTCCCAAGCAAAAACGACCCAATTTTTTGGGTTATTTATCTAGATTCAGGTCCACGTACAAGAACAGCAGATATGCGATCTGGAAAAACAGTTGTTCGTTACAAATGAACATTTGAATAATGCACAGCATACAAAGTGGCGATAACTTGTTCATTGCTTTATAGAAACGAATCCAACGAAAATATTTTTTTCTCAACGACGAATCGAGGTTTTGAATTAGGATGGCGAAAGTCCGAACCATCGAGAACTCTACTGCCGAAACATGTCTACAACCGTACATTCTGGTCAGACAGATAATTTCATAGATAAAAATTATGTGTACTGTGTATACCCTATATGAATTTTGACATTTTGTTTTTAGATTAGATTTTTGTAATTTTCCTTTTTTTCCTGAGTTAACGATAAAAACGAGATTTTTCGCAATAATATTGATGCTGATAAATATCTTTCATCTTTTTCCATGCCGAGACACCTTCCTTCGTCCATGCGTCTTCTGCTTGTTTCCAACGGGGACCCACTTCCAAATAAACGACAGACAAAAGAATAAGCGGCATCCGTTGAATCACTGTATTCTGAAATGCGTGTTCATCGTACCATTGAGGCAGATCTGCTCGTTGGCTTTCTCATAGCTCCGATCTTTGTAATTATTCATCGGATGTTTCCCATATTTTTGTTATTTGTTCTTTCATATCACCTAACGGTTCATGTGTTAATTCGGTTTAGTAATGAGTAATAATTTAAACAAGAAGATTATAGCGATAACAGCAGCTTTAAACATCATATATTTATTTCAATATTAACGTCAACGTTTCACTGTTTCGAACAGCATTTTCAAGACTGCTGATAGGATTCTTATAGAATAAAAAGCAACAGCATATTTTTCACTGAAATATTTTATCGATAATCATAGTGTTCGAATTTTGTGATAGTCTTTCCTATAGGAAAGACTATCACATCTTCAAACAACTCACACAAAAATCTATGTTTTCTAGTTAATGAAAAACAAAATTTGTGAAGAACTAAAACGAGCTGAAAAACAGGAACGAGTGAAAAACTCATTTTTTGTTAAAAAACAGAAATTCACTTCTCCAACTTTCAAAGAACTCAACGGAGTTCTTCAACCAGTTTTCTGAAAATTCGAAAAACACGTTTTTTTTAGAGTGTATATTAGAAATTGAGTAGAGGACGGGATTGCTGGAAATTGTATCTCTCGGATCCCTGAGAATTCTTGACATTTGGTGGCAGAAAAAACATTAGAAAAGACATCAGACTACTTAAAATGTTCATTACCGTGAGACATGTACAGCCATCGATTTAGCGTTCGGGATGAAATGGAACTTAGAATGTATCCTTCACATTAGAAACACTGATACATCTTTTTTTAACAAAATATCATCTCAAAAATCTCGATTTACTCGGTCCTAAACTAAATCTATGAACGGAGAGATTCAAAACCATTTCCACACTGCCATTCGAAGCTCAGAAACTGCTTGTTTGCCAGCCTGAACTCAAATTATGTTCAAAAAAAGGACTTTCCACTGAGAAAAAGTAAAGAAATTTGTGAATATCTCGCAGAAAAGCTTTCTTCGGTTAAAGAAACAAATCGTCGATTGGGTTTAAGCCTCCGAAGATGAAGTTGGTGTCGGAACTTGAACTTGATTTTATTTTACAAACAAAGCTGACGTCATGAAAAACGAGCTGCTGTAGGGAAGCAGAAGAAGTAAAAAATACTTATATACACTGCCACCTGGAGTAACAACACCACAAGGGAGGATACACGCTGATATCTATAGAGACACTCTTGCAGAATATAGTACAGAAATAAAACCAAACCTACAGAAAACGCCTTAAATTTGCAAATGATTTTTCAGTGCCGCTTTAAACTTACCGAGAGTGCGTACCGCAACAGCCATTTCTGGTAAGACGTTCCAATCGTCGGCAGTCTGACGCTACCCGTTTTTTTGCAAGACTCGGTGTCGTGGCTGGCTTTGCCCTTACGTGTTTTAAAACCGTAGTTGTATTCAGACGCTTTTCTACGATCCGTCAGTGGTGTTATAAAGGGCGGATTAAAAACTGAAAGTGGCGATAACTTGTTCATTGCTTTATAGAAACGAATCCAACGAAAATATTTTTTTCTCAACGACGAATCGAGGAGCTTTAGGTTTTGAATTAGAGTGGCGAAAGTCCGAACCATCGAGAACTCTACTGCCGAAACATGTCTACAACCGTACATTCTGGTCAGACAGATAATTTCATAGCTAGAGATAAAAGACGAAACAATTAGTGGCATCATGCTGCACGTCCGGTGGCAACTCTGTATCAATTTCGAATCCTGTTACTTGTCTTTCGGTTATAAAACTGTCTAAATTATTGAGTGATCGACTTTTCGCAGCCCATAGCTTTTTGCGGTACAGTGGTGATCGAAGAGTTGGAGAAGCCAGTATTGATCCCGGCGGCTGTAGTTCTGATGTTGCCGCTGGCGGTAATGGGGGTGTCCGTAGTGGTAGAGGTGGTAATGGCTGATAAGCTTTTGGTACGTATGCTATAGTTGGATTTCGCCATTTCTTAATTTCGCCAATCGGTTGTGTCATATTGTGAAACGATTGATTCGATGGTGTTTCAACACGTCTTAACTGAAACCAGCGTGGTTTGTCAGTATTTGGCAGTGTTGTCGAAAAACCATCGTTTGGTTTTCTTCGAAAAAAAGGACTGGTTTTTGGTAGTGCTTTTCGTAGTTGGTGGTTTTTGTGTCGTGGATTACGAGTTGGCGCGTTTCCCATAATTCGCTGATCAATGGGTAAATTCTAGGTGAGAAAAAACTATTTATCACTTGCTGCCAGATTTCACTATCCTTATATGACTGCAAAAAAGGAAAAAGGCAAATAAACGTGCAATAAGAGAAGGAAGTGAAGTGCGTTGTTCTGTTTTGTTTTTCTATCTCTCGCTGACTTATAGTTATAGTAATATAAGGCTTATACCTGCGTATTTTTCTTTCTCGCATTTTTTCTAACACTAGATGAAGATCGCTGGTGCGTAAGATGTGACTATGAGCACTTCCTAATGTGGACTTATACGTATTTTTCAAAAATATAACGGCACTCCATGAAAGCGTGGCATCCACACGAGTAACTAACGTGCTATGAATACATCATTGCCTATGACTGCTTTTTGTTCTGTTCTTTATTATTTTGCACAGTAATAACGGGACGTGAACCACTTGGGCTCTTTCTGATTCACCGGCTCGAATTGCACACTGAACAATGCACTTTCTTAGCTTGAGTGCCAAAGTCAAATGAAATTATCAACATCAGAAAATAATACTACATACGAATCTCGGCACAACCACGAATGCAAAACAAGTAGAAACGGACGAAGACTTCACACGGTCTTTCCGTCCGCATAAGGGTTTTATTCGTACGAAACGGTGTTCAAACGCGTGTAAAAGGAGAAATAATAGAAACGCGTTTCCTATATGAAAATCCTTGGATATGAGGGAGAAAGTCATGTTTAAACGTGTATTATTCTAACAAACGTGTATCGCCATATACATGTTTCATGTCAAATATTCTTGATAACGAACAGTATTGATTATCATTGCAATTTTGCATAAGAAACAACTTGATTTGTCCAGATTGTCATCTTTCTTTCTATTCATATATTGACTGATAGACTGTATTTATTCACTTAGTACTTGAGTAAGTGAAACACAAACCTTGTATATTTCAAAAAAAGAGTAATAAATTGACTGATTAAATCAATACAAAACGAATTTCTATCGTTTACATAGGATTAGAAAATGCAGACTACCTACACACAAAGTCATACAAGTATGACTAATATGTACCAGTGCTCAAAGTGCGCAATACAGAGTATAAGTGATGTATATAACTAATGCAATGGACGATTGCTAGTTTTCTCTCAGAATCTCTGCAGTTACACTCACAGTTGCAACCAACCTGAGCGACAAACGTCGCTATTAAAACGCTTCGACAAACCGTGAAACAAAAAAATCTTGATCAATCTTGCGTCGGCTATAACTCAGCCCCAAATGCCCGTCAAGCGAACCAAGATAGACTTTTACTTACCTCAACAGCTCCTATGCAATGAATATAATATCAATTGAAAAGCAATTAAACACTTGGAAACGTTCCCTCGTGAGAAATTGAGAATTTGAGTATTGGCTAAATCTAAAACTCACACCATGTTTATACGGAACACACGGCGGATTCACTGTCCACTAACCCGCAGCGCGCTAATTTTTAGTTTTTTGTTTCCAGTATGCACTACTCCCTAACAGAAGGTACTCTCTAACGAACCTAAAAAAGGTTTAAACTTTGCCACCATCTATATGCCTTTTTAAGGTTTTGTTCAAACTATATACCGTTTTACTTAGCTAAATTCGTGACTGGGAAAAGCTTGGGAACGGTGAGAAAACACTTTTTTTGTGTTTTTACACAAATCTTTTCCAGTGATGGATTTAGGGTGCTGTACGAAACCCTAAAAAGGTATATAGATGGTGACAAAAGTTTAAACCCCTTTTAGGTTCGGTAGAGTACCTTTTATTTTTAGAGAGTAGTGAGTATTCAGTATATAACTCTTAGTTTTTAGCCTGGGAATGGCGAAAAGGGAAGGGGGAGGGAGGTGTGTGTGGGGATGAGAGTGGGTTCTTCCGTGATGTTTGTCAGAATATCTGAACATCTAGATATTTTATAATTTCAGATCTACTCAGATCAGACCGGTCTTTTTTCTGATGCATTTTCAACCGTATTTGCATAATGTCTTACTCTGCTTTTGCGGCGAGAAGAATCTCCAAAGGAATTGAGGTGGTATGCCTTTTAAACGGAAATATGAGTTAATTAGTGGATTAATAATAATTAATTAATAACACACAACCTTGAGCAGTTAGAAGTCTGCACGGTTCGAGATGTTTTTGAGAAAGCGTGTAAAGCCACGAAGTAAGAATATTATCGGAAGTTATCAGTTGAGATGAATTCGTCATCGAAACCCTGGTGGCCTTGAGTTAAAAACACATTAAACAAAATGAACAGTATTTCCATTCCGCCTATTTTTGACAGCTCCTCAAAACAACTAATGATAGATCGGGAAAAAGAGCTTTTAAACAAACATTTCGCGATGGTTTGGTCGATGCTACTTCACAACCGACAATGGTCGGTTTCCGCCGCCAATTCTCGTCGCGATAGATATGGTCTAAATTCTTCAATACAGCGCACCATGGCTGGACATTCTTCGGTGGTACAAGATCTTTTGTGTGCTGAATTTAATTTACGTGACAAATAGCGTGGTTTTAGGCTATCTAGTACCTAATTTAATAGCTTACACAAAACAAACTTACACATTACAATAAAATAATATAATAACTTACACTACCTACAAGACTAAAAAAGAAAGGAGCTTATGAATCAAAATATTGAAACTTAGAGTTAAGTACAACTTAGCAGATGTTCACACAAATATAGATCCGTAAGACTATAATGGTCACTTTCTACAACACAACTAACTAAAGGAAATAAGTACTACAGTTCTACATAAATTGGGCTACGATACACTCGAACTGAGAGTGCAAATTCCTATCGTCCATTATTGACTTCTGCCCCTCTAGTGAATGAATGTGATCAAGAAAATAAAAAGTGCATAATGTAGTTCTAGTTGTGAATGATCGTTATATATAGTGGTCAGTGGCCTGCACAGGATAGGAACATATGGATTTCGCAAGAGTTACACACCAATGCATTAGAAGGAGAAAGGATCGGACAGTGGACTAAATGAGAAGATTTAAGTGTCAAAACTACAAGAATATAGAAAAATTTTAGAGGAAAAGGTCCGGTTTGGAATCCTTTCAATTTGTCTTGAAAGTACATTTCGTCGCCCTTAACCTGTTTTCATGTAACTGTTTGTACCAAATACACACATCTTCAACCACGCACATGTCTGCCATATA